CATGTATGGGAGGAGCATGTATAGGAGATAGGGTGGGCAGGTAGCTGGCATACAATATAAGGGAGGAAAAGAAGCTTGCTCTTCCCCTCTTTTCCTGTCTTCTGCCACCTTGAACTGCTGCCCCTCACCATGCCACCCTGCCTTGGAGCCAGCTGATTGTGGACTGAGACCTCCACAAACTGTGAGCTAAATAAAACCTTTCCTTCCTTAATTTTGGGCATTGGGTATTTTGTCTCAGAAGGGAGAGAAAAGTAACCAAGACAATCCCCATTTAATCAGTATTACCCAAGCAACTGTACCTGTTGTATACTTAACTGGTTGACCACAGTTTTTGTCCCACCTCACACCTGTCCTGATTTGCCATTGGATCAATATTATCTAAGTGACTATACTTGTAACCTTATTGATTGGTTATAGTTTTGGCCCACCTTAAACCTACCTCACCTTGTGACTTTGCTCAATAAAACACCCTTGAGAAGGGGGGTGGATGGGCAGCCCATTTTCCAGGCACCCTTCTGAGAGAAGTTTTCCTTCTCTCAATAAATTCTTCCTACTCTTAACCTTCATTGTTCCTAGACTTCATTCCTCAGTTTTAGAGAACATGAACTTGACGTTTCAGACATCTAGCAGGTTGGGAGTTTCTTTCCCCTTTATCACCCTTGCAATGCTCCCATTCTCCCTGGAATAAAGCCCTCAGGAGAATAGAGGATAGTATAAGACCTCCGCCTCATTAACAAGGTTCTGGGCTGGGGATACAGCTCAGTGGCATAAGTGCCTGCCTGGCACGGGCAAAGTCCTGAGTTCAATTCCGGGAAGCAAAATCAAAACAACAACAGAAAACAAGGTTCTAACCCTAATAATCCTCTGTTGGCAGATCTATATACAATTTTCTCCTAAATTCTAGGAGACATGAATTGGTTCTCAGTCTTAGACCTCAAAGATGCCTTTTTATTATTCCTCCACCCAGACTCTCAGTTTCTGTTTGCCTTTGCAAGGGAAAATCCCATTTCAAGAGAAAAGCAGCAATATACTTGGATAGTTCTCCTGCAGAGGTGTAGAGATAGCCCTCACCTTTTTGCCTGGACACTAGAAAAAGACTTAAGGAACCTACAGCATAAACAGGGAAACGCTCTACAGTATATAGATGATATTCTAATCTGCAGTTCAATTTGGGTATTATCCAACCATCATACTATCCAAACCCTTAATTTTCTAGCTAAGAAAGGATATCAAGTCTCAGCAGGAAAAGCTCAGATAGCACTCCAGAGAGTTCAATATTTGGGATACATTCTTTATTTATTTATTTTTTTTTGGTTTTTCTCCAGTACCGGGAACCGAACTCACAACCTTGCGCTTGCCAGGCAGGCACTTTTGCCGCTGAGCTAAATCCCCAGCCCCTGGGATACATTCTTATACCTGGGGAACAACAGCTGTCTAGGGACTGGATTCAGGGTATCTGTGATCTTCGGCCTCCTGCCACCAAGCAACAGCTTTGTTCCTTCCTGGAAATGACTGCCTTCTACCAGATCTGGATACCTAACTTTGGACTAGTAGCAAAGCCTTTATGCGAGACTATCAGACATCCTGAGTTGGTGCCCCTTGAATGAACATGACTGACATTACCTTTATTTTTTTTTTTTGACATTGCCTTTAGAGAAATAAAATATGCTATTACTCAGGCTCCAGCACTGAGAATACCTTATTTAAGAAAACCCTTCCTCTACATGTCAGAAAAGAGAGGAATTGCTTAGGGTGTCTTGATCCAAAGGCTAGGACAAAAACTCCACCAAGTGGCATACTTTTCAAAAAAGTTAGGAGTGGGTGCTGCCTGAGGACAGTAGCAACTACAGCTATGCTAACAGGAAAAGCTACAAAACTAACTGTAGGACAAAAACTAGTCCTGAATCACTATCAAGTCTGGGTAATTCTTTTTTTTTTTTTTTGGTTTTTCTCCAGTACCGGGAACCGAACTCATGACCTTGTACTTGCCAGGCAGGCGCTTTGCCACTGAGCTAAATCCCCAGCCCCAAGTCTGGGTAATTCTTGAGACTAAAGGCCACTTGTGATTAACAGGGCAATGGCTTACCAAGTATCAGGCCATGCTCTTCAACACTTCTAAGATCATGAGAAAAACTTGCACTACTCTTTAATTCTGCCTCTTTGAAGCCTACACACCATGAGTTTAGCCACTATTGTGAACAAGTGATCTCCCAGGCTTATGCAAGCAGGCAGAAGATCAGTGACCTGCCCCTCCCGGATCCTGAGACGGTGTGGTTCACTGATGAAATAGCTTTGTTCAAGAAGGACATCAAAAGAGGAAGGTTGGGCAGGTGTCAGTTCACAACAGGTCACTGAAGTCAAACCCCCTGCTCCACTTTCCCTCAAGGGGCAGAGCTAGTAGCTCTTACTTGGGAGTAGATAGTAGGAAAAGGCAAAAAGCTAAATAGGGTATCTATGCAGACACCAAATATGCTTTTCTGGTGCATTCACATGCAGCAATATGGAAATACAGGGGCTTGCCAACTAATAAGCAATTATCTACAAAGCACAAGCAGGAAATTCTACAGCTCCTAGAGGCAGTCCATTTTCCTAAGCAGGCTGCAGTCATACGCTATAAATGACACCAAAGACATGCCTAAAGTCTCTTAGAAAAATCAAAAGGTGATAGGGAAGCAAAAGTTTCAGCCTTACAGCCCCTCAAGACCCTAGCCTCATTCTCAGCTCCTGATGAACCATTAGAACAGGCCTGTAGTCCCGAAGAAGATAAATGGGTCTTAGGTCAAGGGGGAATTAAGATGATACTCTGGTGGTATTTGGAAAACAAACTGGTCGTTTTCAAGGGACACAGTGGAAGGCTATAAAAACCCTTCATGAGTCCTTCCATAAGGGAAGGGATACTACATGGGAAATGATCATTTGAATGTTTACAGGCTTGCCCACTCCATGCCTACAATAACCCTGGAAAGCCTGAACTACTTCCGTTTTTAGAACCTGTGAAAGCAGAGGGACACACCCAGAAGGACTGGCAATTAGACTTTACTCACATGCCACTATGTGGGGGATTTAGACAGATAACTGGTCCTAATCGACATTTTTATGAGTTGGATTGAGGCCTTCCCTAACCATTCAGAAAAGGCTATGAAGATAGTAAAGTTGTTCCTCAAAGAAACTAGCCCCTCAAAAAATAGGAAAAAAAAGAAATCATTCCCGGGTTTGGACTACCCCCGTCCCTTCCGAGTGACGGTGGAACTTTCTTTTTAACCTCTCAAATAATTCAGGGGATGACAAAGGCTTTAGGAATAAAGTACCATCTCCATTCTACATGGAGACCTCAGTCTTTTGGAAAGGCCAAGAGAGCCAACCAGACCCTAAAGACAGGCTGCAAACTTTTGCCAGGAGATGTCTGAGTCCTATCTGCAATTACTGCCAGTACCGCTCATGAGTGTTTGAAACACCCCAAAACTGGGCTAAATATGACTCCACTTCAGATGCTATATGGGAAACCATTTCTGTCTTCTGATATGGTAGTAGACCCAGAGACCATGAGACTCTTACAATAGCTTAATAATCTAGGCCAAGTACAACAGACCGTTCAATTGTATAGGAAGTCCTAACAACTCCTGGCCCGGGGGTTCTGCCCACCAAATGTTCATTAAAACCTGGAAAGAAGGAACTCTTACAGACCAATTAAAACCAAAAGGGAAGGGCCTGTTTTCAGTGATTCTTGTCACATCCACTGCAGTAAAGGTGCCAGCGACAGACAGCTGAATTCACCTTTCTAGGAAAAGGCAGCTCCACTTGATCTGTCTGAAGAAAAAGACCATCCAAAACGAAAATCTTGAGCTGGATGTGGTGGCCTGGATGCCTGTAATCTCAGCACTCGGGAGGCTGAGGCAGGCAGACTGCCAGGAGTTTGAGGACACTCTGGACTGCACAGTGAGTTCAAGGCCAGCCTAAGCTATATAGTTAGACCTTGTCTCAAAAAAAAAAAACAAAAACAAAAAAAAAAAAAAAAAAAAAAACAAAAGAAAAGAATAAAAAGCTATTCCTGTGAACCTGTGGAAGACCTGAGATTCATCTTTAAAAAGCAAAAAGATTTAAAAATCTTCAGTACTGCTATAGACAAGTAAATGAATTTTTGCTAAGGCCATGGCTCTCTGGTTCTGCATAATTTATCCGGCAGCCCCTTTGACATACTCTTTTAAACAGGAGGTGTGGAGATCCCACCTACTCCTTGTATTTCGGCTGTACATCCCCAACTTAATAGTGTTTCTCCCATCAAATAGACACTTCAACAGTTACTAATTCTTTTTCTCATTGTCTTCTAACAGTTTTTTCCCCTCTTCGACCCAGCTGGTGAGCCACAATACCTCAAGGTAGTTGGACAGCAAATAATCCCAGCAGGTCGGGTCCACAGCCACTTCCAGCCTGAAGCTGTGAAGACAGAGACCACCCCAGCCCTTCAGCACCTCACAGAGAATTATGGGGACTTGCATGTGTGGCTAGGGTAGATGAGGCAGGGGTAGATGAGGCAGAGGTAGATGAGGCAGGAAGGGTGTGGCTAACACTGGAGGGCAGAGGAGGTGTGAGCAGTTCATCACGGAACACACGCTCAGAACGCTGCTCTCAGGAATCTAAGCAGGCTGATGGGACGACCCGAGGTGATGCAGAATGGGGACTACCAGAGGGGCCGCCCCATCACGCGCTCGCCGTCCTGCCTCTTCACACTGGTCCTCCCTACTCTAGCGTGTGTTTTTTCTCCCTTTTTTCTACCTTTCCTTGGCCCAAACTCATTCTGCAGAGCCAGTTTTTTCTCACCTTTAATAAATGTGAAACTTTGCCACTGTTCAGACTTCTTGTGTTCAAATCTTTGTCCCACACAGAAAAGAACCCAGAGATCGCCTGTGGGAGGTCCCGCACCCCGCAACGTGGCAACGAAGCCCCGGCCGCAGCTCCACTGCGGGATACCCCTCGAGACCCCGCGGCGCCCTTGCTCCGGTCCGGGAGAAGACTTAGCCCCGCCCCCGCCCTGCGCCTGCGCACTCGCGTTCCCGCGGCCCGGGCTCCCGGCGCCTGCGCACGCGCGTCAGGTGAGTGCGGCCTGGGCCCCGCGCGCGGCCTTCCTCCTCCGCGGTCTCGGGACGGTCGTGCGGCTTTCGTTTGTCTCTCGTTCTCCGTTCGGGGCAGCAGTAGGGGTGCAGTGAGGAGCGCAGGCCGGGGCGGGGCGGGC